TAAAAGTTACACACATACGCATTTAAACCTGAGAAAAACCTCCTGAGCTAGTAGGGATTACTCACTCCATTTTCACTAATGAGGAACTCAGGCTAAGTGCAGTGACTCTCAACCAAGCTTACAGGGAAGTGTGGGAGTGGCTGGGTTGCCACACAAACAAGGGAGACAACAACAGCATTTAGTAGATGGGGACCAGAAATATTACAGAATTAAACTGCCCAAAATGCAACTCTTACTGAGAAACACAGGCAGAGAATGAACTGTCAAAGCTAAAAAGCTAATAAAGATTTTGAACATAATTTAGTAACAAACTTCAGGAAATCACCAAGATCTAGCCAAAAAAGGAAACCAAACATAAAGGTATACCAAATTTTCATGCTAAAATAAGACATCTCGGCTGCCTTCTCCAATAATATAATAATTATAATAAAAATAAGAGATAGCATAATTTCAAACTCAACATTTTTCTATCATCTCTTTGCCAAATTTTCCATTTCCATTTTATAACTGCATCAAGGCTTTACATGCGAAACCTTATCATCTTTATTACTCCCTAAGATTTTATACACGAGTCAGGAAGTCTTTTTCCAATTCCCATTCTTACACCCCTTTTTGTGTCTACCTGCTTGATTAATAGTTACTTAGGGGGTTTCAACTTGTCTCGTCCAGGACACCTCTGCCCCATTAATCATAAGAAAATAATCACACTTTCTTCCTCTCAGGATCTCATTATGTAACAATGATCCCTAATTGAGTAATATGCAGATACCTCCAGTTAACACGGAAGACTCAACAAACTAGTTTTATTTTCCCCTCCACTTTAACTAGGATAACTAATCCATCCAGTTTTTTTAGTATTTTTCAAACTAACATAATTCTCTTCGCTACACTATTTTGCCCATACTATTTTTCCTTGCCTAAAATAATTTTCCTTTTCCTTCCTCCCTGCCATTCTGAATCTTATCTACCAATGTACAGAAACATTCATCAAATACACAGAACTTACCTATAATCTAACTTTGTGTTATGTCCTCAAACCCCTAAATAAATCTCTAATTTCAATTATGTTTGACTGGCTGGTTAGGACTAGAAACTTTTAAAGGTGAGGATCACATTTTCATTTCTTTTGCATTACTCACCTAGAAGAATATATAGCTACTTAAAACCACAACATTATTTTTTGTAGAAATCATCTAATACAGCATCTTCATTTTTACACTAAGGAAAAAAAAAATGAATGCAAGGATACATTATTCCTTAATGAAAAAACAAGAACCCAAATTCAGACCCCAATTTATAACTGAATTTTGCCTGCCACTCGATAAGTGCTTGTTAGATTAATTAGAAGGTATAAAAATCACTTTATAAGCTTGTATCCAGCAATATGAGACTGCAATTTATAAAATTGTATCTTATCAAACTAGAAATTGCCTACTGGTGATTTTTTTAAATCTCAAATTTTTACACCAATTCGGTAAGTCTAAATTCCATTTTTGTGCTTGGTCTTTGCAATGTTAATATATAAAACATTCTCATTGTTTCCAAATAAAATTTTATCTTAAAAAGTATTAGCACTATGAAACAATTTCAAATTATACTAGTGAACCAGAAGTTTAGCGACAGCAGAATTATTAAAAAGACCTTCATTCCTCAGTTAGGACAACCTCCCCCTTTTCTTTCCCTTTTACTTATGCTTAGGCAAAAAGATAATGGATTATTTTAGCCCAATAGTTCTGATCAAGTCATGTATTTCTAGCTTGCAAGGAAAGAATTAAGATAGTTAAAATCATATAACCACAGTTAAGCTATATAACTTGATTTCTAAATTTTCTTTCAGCTTTAGTAAGTACACTCCAACCTCATATTCTCTTCTGAATCCTAGAAGATAGAGCATTAAGCATATTTATAATGACATCATCAGTTACTTGCTGTATAAGAAAATACATTAAATCTATTTGATTCATTATTGGCTAGGTATTATTTTAGGATTCAAATTTTTAATACTCTTCGTAATAGAAATGTTAGATCCTATTAATTTTCTCATCAGATTTGGGGAGGAGGATATTTTGCTTTGAACTCAAAAGAGGCAAATCAACATTTAGGAAGAAATCTTCTTAGTCAAACTAGTACACTAAGTTTACTCCTAGATACACTGTATAATTCTCCTAGTCCAATTCTATTTTTGAAAACATCTACTTTTTCCTGTGATGTTAAATGAAAAGGTTTTATTTAGAAGTAAGTTTTTTCCTCTAAAGACACCTTTCAGGGAAAATATATTACAAACTACTAGAGTTTAATATTAGAAAAGAATAAAGAGATGGATCAAAAGAAATCAGCTGCAATAGGGAAAATTAAAGAGCAATAAATAAACTTGTAATGAATATGCATGTTAAACTAATATGGTGTTTTAAATCAATAGAAAAATTACTGAAGCCAGATGTCTATAATCCCAGCTCTCTGGAAGCTGAGGCAGGAGGATCAGAAGTTCAAGGCCAGCCTGGACAAGTTGGCAAGACTTTGTCTCAAAAATTGTTTTAAAAGGCAGGGGCTAGGGATGTAGCTCAGGAAAGTCCTATTTGCCTAGTGTTCAAGCCCCTGAGTCCAATCTCCAATATCACACACAAAAAAACTCTGAAACAATAAAATCTATAAATATATTCCATTAGAATCTAAAAATTTTAGGTGTCTAGTTTCAAAAAATAACAAAAAATTTAATGTATATCTTAAGCCACATAAGCAGAAAGATAAAAATAAAAAGGGCTTAGTCATGTTTTATAAACCAGAGCCATAATAAATAAAGCTCATAAGCTCATCTGCTACTAAACCTAACAGAAGGAATGACTAGGTGGTATTTATTGGTAGGCGAGCCAATTTATCACTCTGGAATGTTCATACACATCTCATAACAAAGAAAAGCAGAAAGAAATTTGGCAGGTTTCCAGACCCTAAATATAGTAATGGGATTTTAAAAAGAGAGAGAATAAGTACAAACTGTAATTATAGATTCACCTTCATTCATATAATATTTAGCTATAAAAAACATGTATACCAAAAGTCATAGACAAGTGATAATTCTGGACACCTGATCTTTCCTTTGGCAATTAGCAGTATGCCTGATATTTTAACTATACCTTCTGTGTCCACTTGCTAATTGTTCAAATACATTAGTGTTAAAAGTACTGCACTGTCTAAGAAAAATATTTGGTTTTATAAAATCAGTCTTGTTGGTGGAACTTACTTTTAATTAATTTATAAAAGGGCCAGATTGGCAGTTAAAAGAAAAAAGTAATACACTACGAAACTGCTGAAACCATATTGAGAAAACAGTAAATACTGAACTCTTTAAAAAAGCTAGCCAATCTAAAAGTAATTGATTTAACTAAACTTTACTTTTTTTTATTCTGGTCAAGTAATGAAATTTTGTTGGGAAAAAGTCTATTTTCAGATCCACAGAGGCCTTCTAAAACAATGCCCTAGTCTTGATATCAAACAGAATTTCATTGAATACTGACAAATTTTATTCCCATCTTTACAATACTAAAACAGGAACCCTAAAATAGAAAGTGGGGGTTCCAACTATCTGGATATTCAGGCAAGAGCAATTAGATAGACTCTCTCAGAAATCAAGAGATTCAGATCTAGCCAGGTCAAATTTTACCCTCTGAATAGATAGAAATGCACTATTAGTATTTACTATATATGGCAGACTTCCAGTAGTAGCATAGTTCAACAGACCATCTGAAAACTGTCATTAGCATTTTGAAAACAGCATACTTAATTACAAATGAAACTTGAGACAGATCTTGATACAATATAGTACCTCTTTGAAATAATTATTTTAAAAGATCACAGATGTCTGGCACGTGTTTAACTTAAATGAAAATAAATCTAAATATATAAATAGGTAAAGTTCTCCTTATCCCATTTTTGTTAATAACAGCAATATTCAGTGAGATTATCTAATGATTTTTTCTCTATTCATGACCAACATAGTACCTCAATAAATAGGTGGGAAGCAGCCTGCAGACAGATTAAAAACCACTTTTTAAAATCTTATGTTTAAGTTTAAAAATAATAGTTTAATTAAATATGGTTAAATGCCATAGTAAAAGCAAACACAAATTTTATTTCAAGAAGAATGGTATAAAAGAGGAAGAGCTCTCCATTATTCAAGTTAAAAAAAAGTGATGTTGGAAAACATTTTTGAAGTGTTTGAAAAAAAATACTATGACAAAACTACTACAATTCATTCATAACCAAGAAAAAAATTCTTTCTATACCAATACTTTACCTGAAAGCTTTTACACACACACACACACACACACACACACACACACACACACACACACATATAACAAATATGGACTATATAAGGGAAAAATATATCAAGAAAGTACATTTATCCCTGGGTATTTAATAAGAAAATGCTCTTAAGACTTCCAGAAATACTAACTCTTCATAACTGCTTATAGGAAACTAATTTGCTATATTTGTCTTCTGCTAATATTAGATTTTTCCAGATGGACATGTAGGAAACCAAATTCAAAGCCAACCTCTTATTCATTAGCCTAATAAATTGGTCATAAGCAGTATCTACCATGAAAAATATTTCAAAAAGTACTTAAAATGTGTATCATACTACTGTCTTCAAAACTCAACCTTCAACAATTTAATAGACCACTGGCATATGCAGATATAATTCCCCCTTAGAAACTTCTAGCTCTTTGTAAAGAACAGAGTACAACAAAACTTTACACTTGTATTTTGATATGTATTTTTGTACTATACACTGAGAGTTGGAAACCAGGACAGCAACACATAACTTGAATAATCAAAAGGATAATCAAAGGAAAAGCCAGCACCAAGTAATTTCTCATAACAGATACTTGATTACACTGTTTCTTTGGAATTCAACAGGAAAAATTTAAAACAATTGAAACCAATTAGTAACACTATAAGACTGAGGGAAACAAAAGCTAAAACACAAAATGAAAGGATACAGCCTTAAAGCACCAGTCTGAGTTCCCACTGCCAGGATCTTCTGTACAGGATCAAAGGCCAGGGCTGAGGGCTGATAGGGAAATCCATGCCGAACAGTCTAGAGATGGGCAAGTGATATCACAGTAACCAAAGGAGCAAGCAAAATTCAAAAACAGAAAAGTCAATAGAGGCATTAGAAACAACTATCCTTGATGCAAAAACACATACACACGCAGTACTGCCCTTAAAAAAAAAAAAAAAAAAGTGAACTCTAGCTTAAAGTTATTAACAATACCGGAAAGAAACAAAAATCTATTAACAGTGTTCACACGTTAATTTCTCCTTTTCTGTAATACTGCTATTCTATACAAGAAAATTTCCTATTAGTACTCTATAGAGTTATGCCTGATTCCAAATTGTTATAATCACACAAAATTTATAAATTCATTTTAAAATGACTCGTGCTTCAAATGTAAATTATCAAATGTTACTATATCTGAATAATAAATGCAAGTACTTCTAAGAAAAAGCTGCCATACAATTAATTACCTTAGTGAAAGATTTAGTAAGGCAATTATCAAACCTATATCCCAACATTTTGTAAATGTAAAAGAATGAAAATGAACACACTGAAATTTACTAATAAGTTTACAATTTTAGAGCATTAAGGCAAAAAGTGTACTACACATTTTTAAGAAACCCGGACATATGAATGCATGGCTATTTATAAGAAAGACAGGAATTAATTAAGTTTATTTCTCATTAAGCTGCTGTGAATTAATTCGCTGCATCATTCTTTCTGAATTGTAGAACGCTGTGGCAATTACCATGCCATTAAGAAGCAAATATCACGGTATTAACTTTTTAACCAAACATAAGATTGGTGCAATTTTATATTGTAAACCACTCATGCAACATTTTAAGGGAAAATGATGAGCTGCGATCGGGTTGAACAGGTTTGGCTTTCTGATAAACAATATTCATTGCACACTGTTTCCAAAGGAAATTTCGAAGTTGGCGAATTATATGAAAATGCTTGAATACGACAGCGTCCAGATTATTGCCAGCGGTGTCATGACACGAATTAAAGGTCAGATAATATGTCTGAAGCGGCCCTGAAATGAATGCTGTATGTGTAAAGGGGAGAGGAGAAAAAAAATGAGGAAAAGGAGTAAACATCAGTTTCCAAAATACCCCACGAAGGAAACACTACCTAGAGGAGCGAGCCTGTTACGGGAGTATGATCACCACTGACACTCTCTTCCCTCGCTCTGCCAGGTAACGCCGAGGTCGCCCCCCTCAGAAGAACCCATTCCTCAATGACAGCGTCGCGGGGCTGCGCGCTCCGCTCACCTTGCAGAGCTGAAAGTGCTCAGACTGGAGTGTTTCCTGGATCTCGGGCTCCCGGCTCCCGAGCGGGTGCTGCTGGGGCTGTTGCTGCTGCGAGGCCGAGGACGAGCCGGCGGTCAGGCCGTCCAGCACCTTCCTGATGTTGAATTTCCTCATGGTCCCGGCGGGGTCCCCCGCGAAGCCCGGGAGGGGAGGGGAGGGGGACGAGGCGAAGCCGAGGGCAGCTGCGTCCGAGCACCCAGCGGAGTGCGAGTG